GTGGAAGTGGGGGGGGGGGGGTGGTAACAGGTTCCTCCTCCTTGCTCACGCTTCCCCACGTTCATTATCTCTGCAACAAAAATTACAACTGTAGGAAAAAGTTAAAAAACATTACCGTGGGTGTGTTCACTAAGAAGCTTTGACCATGCATCTCATTTTTCTGTTCAGTTGTTCAAGCAGCAGATTAAGATTGAGTTCTCATTATGTTATTCTATTATTCTTTCAACTTCCTTTGCTTAATTAATGAAATTTCCTTGACAATAATTCTTAACCAAAATTTGATTCTTCAGGTGACGTTAGTCAAAAGCCATGAAACAAACAGAAAACCTCATCTCTGAGTAATTAATCAGCATAATAAATAATCTCTTAAATATGGCAGTATAGGCATAAATTCAGAGTGCGTGCACTGCTCAGGCCCAACGATGGCATGTCACATTGAGTCACCCAGTTACTGTGACAACAGAACTAGAAACCTCAGCTTCAGCAGACCTCCAGCCCAGCTGCATGTGCACATTGCACCCAACCTGGAGGGGGGGGTCCTCAGCACTCCTTTCCCAAGTGAGAAATACAGGTGTACTTCCACTAATGTAAATATGCTGTGTCTGACATAGCTTGGAGAGGCTCAGAGGTTAAGGCTTTGACCTCCGAAAAAAAATTAAACTGTAGCTAAAGCTCTTAGCAGGGTCAAGTGATTGTCTGAACAGTTTTTTTTTAATCTCAGAAATCCTTTTGTTAACTCATAGCTTGGAGCACAGGATCAATGACCTTATCGTACATCCTCATGAGGAACAATTTCATGGCAGTCTGAGTAAGCCACCTGATTGTGCCACCTGGGATGCTCTGTCTTTATACAGTAGGGAATATTGATTATATTTCAGCTAGCCAAGAGCAGTGGAAGAAATTGGAAATGGATCAGGGCTTTGATTCCTAACTGCCTGACGAGAATACTTTGTTCTGCTTGCTCCTGTGCTCCTGCTCTCCGCAAAGATAGCCTGTTGCAAGCTGCTGTATTCAGTAACGCCTGTGCTTTCTGATAAACTATTTTCCCCACTTTGGGCTCTTTTCTTTTCCCACCATCAATGACACATGAAAAATTTATTGTCAGGTTGTTAGTGTTGATGACTTTGCCATCTACCTGACCTGTCAGAAATAAGAAAAAAAAAAATTCATCACCTTGTCACCATGCCATTACTTTAAAATTTTAAATAGCCCTGAAAACAGTAAGTGTGATTTCTTTCTTTATGAGGTAGAAATGAAAGGGGACTCTCACATTGAAAGGAGCTGCAATTTGGTGCCTGCAGAATATAGATTCCAGCACATGTTTTTCTTCATTACAGCAGCTCTTCTGGACCATCATCCTCACATAGGCCTGTACAGAC